AATGCCTGGCACGAGGAGAAGGCAATTTTTTATCCTCACCTCTCAGTTCCAACCCTCAGAAAATCGGGACAAGCCCTCTGGAATCCTTTGGGAAGCCCTCTGGGATCTGACAGCAGAGGTGGAGGCAGCAGCGCAGCCAGACAAAAAAAAGGCTTTGCCAGCCCTGAAGATTAATTTCCTAAATTACATGGCAGCTACGAGAGAGGAGGGAAGGAAAGGATTATTATCTGCATGCCCTGGGAGAAATAATCCTGCTGTAACTACTCCAGGCTTAAGGACATTAAGCTGGGTTTGTGCTGCAGGGCTGAGCTCTCAGGGGTGGAGCAGAGGAACACAGAGCTCCTGTGGGGCTCTGAAGGTGACAAACACTCCAGTGCAGGGCCCAGATTGGGATGGGAACCTCCCACATTTGCACTAAGAGGTGTATCCCACAGTCCTTCCGTCGGTGGGACACAGGAGGTGCCATCCAGAGCCTCTGAGGGCAGGATTAGGCTCAGCTTTTCTCATCCCAGCTGAGGAGGTGAGGTCGAGGTTGACCTCGTGGTAGGTGAAGGCTGAGTGGCACCAGCTATCCCTGTGGACTCCAGAGGGATCCTGGGATAACCAAAGGCTTCAGTGCTGAGAAATCCTGCCCCAAGGATCCTCAGGAAGCAACCCATGACCCAGGAGCTGCCCCTCCACGGAGGAGTCCTGCTGTTCCTAAAAGCTGAGCTTAGAGCTGCCTGCCCTAAAGTTGGAGCCATGGGGATATTTTGAAGAGCACGGGGTCCTTGTTCACCTGATGATCGTGATGTGACTTATCCAGTGCAATTGTGACCTGGGCTTGGAGCTCTTCTACCATGGAGCCAGGCTGGGAGAGCCAGGATTGTTCAGCCTGGAGAAGGGAAGGCTCCAGGGAGACCTGAGAGTCCCTTCTAGGGCCTAAAGGGGCTCCAGGAGAGCTGGAGAGGGACTGGGGACAAGAGATGGAGTGACAGGACACAGGGAATGGCTTCCCACAGCCAGAGGGCAGGTTTAGATGGGATATTGGGAAGGAATTCTTGGCTGTGAGGATGATGAGGCCCTGGATCATGTTTTCCAAAGAAGCTGTGGCTGCCCCATCCCTGAAAGTGTTCCAGGCCAGGTTGGATGGTGTTTGGAGCACTAGGACAGTGGAAGGTGTCCCTGCCCATGGCAGGGGGTTGGAATTCCATGATCTTTCATATCCCTTCCAACCCAGACCATTCCATGCCTCTGTGACTCATTCTATATGAGGATCAGGGCAGTCCTTCAACTGAGGTCATCCAAAAAAAACCCCAAAAACCCAGGAAAATTTTGAGTTAGGATTTATCTCACCATCTAAACTGTGCCTTAAAATGGGGTATGGAGATGTGCCATGAGAAAAAAAAACAAACCCAAACATAAAAAAAGTAAATAAAAATGAAAAAGACAAAAATTCCTCTCTCAGACAAATCAACTGTCCAAGACTTGCTCTGAACACCAAATGCTAAAACTGGAGAATGACAAAAGACTTTTTAGGTTTGGCTCAGTTCCTCAGAGTTACCAAAGTAAATAAAACAACCAAACCACCTTGGAAGGGTCGTGGCTTTAGGGTGTGTGGCTGATTAATTAAATGCAATTTAGGTTGTTGTTTGGGCTGTTAACTTTTAGGGCCAACGGGCTTTGAACAGCAAAGCCTGATTTTATTTGTGACTTCAGGGTGGGGGCTGGTGGGGGGAAAAGGAGAGAACGTGAAACTCAGCTCATTCCACGTGGAAGGAGGCTATTTAAATATGCAAATTGTGCTCAGAAGAGCAAAGAGAAGTAGGATTTTGGAGCTTCCTGCTGTCGTTCAGGAGATATGGAGGGTTTTATTCCCCTGCCCAGGGTGGGATTTAGGATGGGGAAAGAGTTAATACATCTCTGTCGGGTTTTGGGAGCACCCAGGAGGGAGCAGAGCTTGGAAGTCCACACAGGAGGGTGGGTGGATTTCAGTTTGGTTCCCAAGGAGTATTTACAGCCCAGAAAACACCCTTGGCAAAACTCTGCAAATCCAGGAAAGTAGTTCATGTGAAAAGTCTAAGAATCCAGCAGAGGAGTGAATTTAATTGCTATATAACATGTGAGGCTTTGAACTACACTTAGATCATCATTTTAAGCTACTTGACTTGTGCCACGTGGGTTGAAAACTTCTCTTGTGCTTCGGAAATTCAACTTGGTCTTCTAATCCCTCATTCCAAGCAACTGGGAATGTCTAGGTGAAAGTTTGCCCTGCTGAGTTTTGTTTCATTGGAAAAAAAAAAACAAAAACAAAACAAAAACAAAAGCAAAGCAGACCTGGGAATATTTCAAGTCCCAGGCAAGGAGCAAAAGGATCAAATTAAGAGTTAAAAGACTCTAGAAACAAATGGAAAAATGTCTTTATAAAGAGCAAAATCCCTGTCCACAGTCAGAAGACGCTGGACAGGTGACTCCTCCCAGAGGGATTTGGGTGGAGTGGGTTCCACATTCCCATTCCTTTCTCCCCCTGCCACGGGGAAACTCCTCGAGCCGTTGGGAATCGGTGCCGCTGCCTCCGGTATTTTCGTGCCAGGCGGGCTCCGTGGGTGATTCTCTGCTCCAGTTTTCAAGCAGAACTTCTCACAAATTGACGGAGGAGGTTTTGGCACCTCCGCAGGAGGAGCGAGAGCGAAGGGGATGGAGGAGGAGGAGGAGGAGAAGCGAAAGGGGCTTTAAAACCCCACAAAATTAGCATTTCAAACGGCGGCAACTTTTCCTTTCCTGGCCTGCTGGTTTTAGTGTCACCCTCGTTCAGGATCCTGAGGGGTGGCCAAACACATTCCCGGTGTCCCGGAGCTCCAGGGAAGCTGCTTTTGCAGCCGAAACCTCGGGAAAAGTTGAGTGCAGATTCTCCCTTGCCGCGAAATCTCCCCAGTCCTTGAGCCAATAATTAAAACAAATAAAATCGGGACTAGAACACTTTTAAAACCACCCAGGGTGTTTTTTTTTTATTTTTTTTTTTTTCAGCACAGGGATTTTTAGGCCTCGAGGTCTCACATCATCACCTCGAGTTTTAAACAATTAGCTGAAGTTTTTAAGTTAAGAGCTGCTTTTCTTGAGGTTGGGTGTTTTTGTTTGTTTTTTTTTTTTCCCCCAGACTCACAATGTAGTCGGGAGGGGTAAAACTCAGTTCCTGTGCAATTTTAGAGCTTCCCTGTTAGCTCAGGGTTTGGAGCTAATATAAAAAATATGAGTATAACGTAGTGATAAAATATAATATATAAACTATAACAATAAAATATAATATTAAAAATAGAGTGTGATGATAAAATAAAAATATAGGAATATAGAAAACTAATATAGAAATATAGAAAATTATAGAAATATAGGAAACTAAATTTACGAAATATAGAAATATAGAAAATATAGAAATATAGGACACTAAATATAGACTATAGAAACATTTAGAAGTATAGAAAATATAGAAAAATAAAGTTATAAAATACAATATAACAATAAAAATATAATATATAAAAATATATTATACAAAAATATAAAGATATAGCATATAATATAAAAAATATAAGAAATCTTATTCCTGCCACCCTTGGGGAGGTTCCTGTGCTGGTGGGTGATGGGAAAGAGTGACACAAGATGCTGGAGCTGCACACCAGGACCTTCCCAAAGTTGTCTTTCCAAAGGAGCAGGACCTGACAGCAAGGGAAAATGAGTGCCTAGAAATGCGATTTTCCAGTTGCTGATTCCCTGGGAATGTGTTACCAGTTATCCCTATTCCCTGCTGGAGGGGTTCTGCTGTCACTTTGGGAGACAAGGCATCCCTCTCCATGTCCAGCCACCTTTGCCAGCTGATTTTATTGTTGTGGGAGACAGGAAAACAAGAGGGAAGGGCTGGAAAATTCGATTAGTTACAATTTCCCCTCTCTGCCACAGTTTATAGTTTAAATCATAGAATTGTTTAGGTTGGAGAAGATCTTTAAGATCAGCAAATACAACTAAAAGTCCCCAGTCCACCACTAAACCACGTCCCCAAGTGCCACATCCACATGGCTTTTAAATCCCTCCAGGGATGGGGACTCCACCACTGCCCTGGGCAGCTGGGCCAGGGCTGGGAAACCCTTTCAGGGAAGAAATTTTTCTTAAAATCCAACCTGAACCTCCCCTGGTGCAGCTTGAGGCTGTTCCCTCTCATCCTATTCCTTGGTACTTGGGAGCAGAGCCCGACTCCAACCTGGTTCCCCCCTCCTGTCAGGGAGTTGCAGAGAGGGAGAAGGTTCCTCCTGAGCCTCCTTTTCTCCAGGCTGAGCTCCCCCAGCTCCCTCAGCTGCTCCTGGTGCTCCAGACCCTTCCCCAGCTCCATTCCCTTCCCTGGACATGCTCCAGCCCCTCAATGTCCTGCTTGTCGTGAAAATGACCCCAGAATTTGGATTTGAGTTGGATTTCAGTTGGATTGAGTTGGATTTCAGTGTCTGATCACTGCCCTGGTCCTGCTGGCCACACCGTTCCTGATCTAAGATGATTGAATGGCTTAATAATGATTTAAACTTTCTGATGATGGAACTTTCCACAGGCACACACAGAGCCTCAGGGAGCACCCAAAAAAAACGGAATTTGAGGGAATGTGGGTCTCTGTGTGGATACAGGATAGGAGCAAAGGAGCAAAGAGGACTTTAAATCAATTCAGCTTGTGGGAGGTTGATTTGGAGGCACCTCTGTCTTGTCCCTGCTTTCATGTGCTGGCCACCACTCTTGCCAAAATGAGCGAGTTCCCACAACCAGGAACAGATCCCACGAATCCCAAAGTCTTCCTCGGCCATTTAAAATGTTCTGTCCCAGTGGTGACCCAGAATCTGGGTCTCTTACCTCATCTCCTGCCCATCATCCTCTTTCTGACACCGTTTCCTAATTATTTACCTCATCTGCCAATGTTCTGGGACGATCTGTCCCCTTCTTTCTTACCACTCCCCTTCCCCCCCCTCCCGCCCATTTCCGATCCGGTTTGTGGTGAATCCACCTGAAAGTCACAGGAGTTTCTTAGGAACAGCTGAGTGACGCTGTTCCCGGCTCCGGGAGGGCTGTGACTGTTCCTAACTCCTGCAAATCAAAGCAATTGGAGAAACAAGAGGTGAGTAATGCAGCACCATCCCCGGGGACACGTGCGGGGAGAGAACACAAAAACAAGCTGGGAGAGCAGGGAACACAGAGTGCTTCCAGGGGGAAGTTTGGGAAGGGAAAGGGAGGGAAGGTTTGGGAAGGGAAGGTTTGGGAAGGTTTGGCAAGGTTTGGGAAGGAAGGGAGGGGAAGGGGAAGGGGAAGGGGAAAGGGGAAGGAAAGTTTTGGGAAGGTTTGGGAAGGGAAGGTTTGGGAAGGTTTGGGAAGGGAAGGTTTGGGAAGGGAAGGTTTGGGAAGGTTTGGGAAGGGAAGGTTTGGGAAGGTTTGGGAAGGGAAGGTTTGGGAAGGGAAGGAAGGAAGGGAAGGAAGGGAAGGGAAGGAAGGGAAGGAAGGAAGGAAGGGAAGGGAAGGAAGGGAAGGAAGGAAGGGAAGGGAAGGAAGGAAGGAAAGGTTTGGGAAGGGAAGGGAAGGGAAGGGAAGGGAAGGGAAGGGGAAGGGGGAAGGGAAAGAAAAGGGGAAGGGAAAAGAAAAGGGGAAGGAAAGGGATAGGGCAGGGCAGGGAAGGGAAAGGAAAGGGGAAGGGAAGGGTCAGTGCTACACCAAAGGGAAACTGAGGCCCAGGGTTACAATTCACGCAGCTCATTCAGCTGCTTTGGTGCAGAGCCTAAACTAAGGCTCTTCGTGATTTCTTGTGGGTTTAATTGTCTGAATTGGGCAATAAAGCTTTATTTATTTGCACAATAGGAAGATAAGACTGTGAACTTCAGCCTGGTAAAAGGACTAGGGAAAGGCAACAGAGCTGGGGAGGTGTGGAGCACAAACCCTGTGAGGAGAGGCTGAGGGAGATGGAGGGGTTCAGTCTGGAGAAGAGGAGGCTCAGGGGGAACCTTCTCACTCTCCACAACTCCCTGACAGGAGGTTGGAGCCAGGTGGGATTCAACAAGTAAAAGCATGAGAGGACACAGTCTCAAGCTGCTTCAGGAGAGGTTTAGGTTAGACATTAGGAGGAATTTCTTCACAGAAAGGGGGATCAGACATTGGAATGGGCTGCTCAGGGAGGGGGTGGAGTCCCCATCCCTGGGGGTGCTGAAGCAGAGCCTGGACGTGGCACTCGGTGCCATGGGCTGGGTGCCAGGGTGGGGTTGGATTCCATGATCTCAGAGGCCTTTTCCAACCTAACTGTTTGTGATTCTGTGCCCCAGAACAAAGGGGTGTCCGTCCCAGTGACTTGGACCCTTCTCCCCATGACATCCCCAGCTTGGCTCTTCCTCCCCTCACCGCTCTTGCCCTCATTAACAAAGCACAGCGAAGCCTCTTCTCTTTCTCACAGCCAGACACGGCCTGGCGTTGGCTCTGCCTCCTCTGTGGGTTGCCCTTGTTGCCCAAAATCAGGGAAATAATTCTCTGGACAATTTTGAGTACAGAAAGGCAGAAAGCAGCTCTTTCACTGTGCCTTTGGTGCACAAAATCTATTTCACACACTCACAGTATAGGGCTTTACAGTTTTTATAATATTATCTCATTATAATATCTGGACATCACCTCAGGGGTTACACCCAGCCCCAAAACTGTCTGTCCTATTGTCCCAGATTGACACCTCCCAGATTTGAATCTGTGGTGGCAAAACCAGCCATCCCTCTCATCCCCATCCTCCTCCTCCTCCTCCTCCTCATCTCTGTCCTTCTTGCAACAGCTTCAAGGCTCCTGAGCAGTTTTGACTTGGCTACATCAAAAGGTGTGACCCTGCTATGTCTTACTCTGGGTGCATTTTCTGCAGATGAGCCGTTTTTCACCTCGCTAAAATCTCGTCCCCTCGGAATTCTCGGCAAGGGACGCTAAAACATTTGCAGGCACCTCGCACAAAGGTGCTAAAAGAGCTAAGCTAAAATTCCAGATGATGCAGAGTTTGAGGCTTTGCCCTCAGGGCCACCTGACCTTGGTTGAACACCAAAAGCACCCCGACAACCCGAGGGCTCTGTCACAGCCGAGCGATCTCCGCTTGGCACCGCTCCCACCCACCGGTTCCTTCCCCACCTCCGAAGGAGTCTGGAGCTCAGCGAGGGGAAGGAACATTCCATAGAAGGCAAGGGATTGTCTCTGCCAGGCTCTGCAGAAATGGGACACAGATGGTGCCTCGAGCGAGAGCGGAAGTTTATTTGGGGGCCCCGCTCGTGACGTGGCGCTGCAGATCCTGCAGCAGATGACAGACACCGGGAGCTCGGAGAGGGCGAGGAGTTAATTTTGAAGCTCTCAGTTTGACTAAAAATAAGGGAAAAAAAAAACCACAAAAAAATCAAGGAGAAAGAGAAAAAACTTCACCTTGGTGAGCGTTTCGAGGATAGGAGTGTTCAAAGCTGCTTTTATTTATTTCTGTGCAGGTCTGGGTTTTCCGACACCCCGATCGTTGTCACAGCTCTTTGGTTGCTCAGCCAGGAGGGTTGGTCTGGTTGGCCAGGAGGACACTGCTGATGGAACAATATGAGGATGTCACTAGTTTGGCTTTTCCCTTCTCTAGACATCAACTTTTGTCCTTGTCCTCCCCACACAGAATAGCTGGAAGGGATTTCTGGACATTTTCTAGTGCAACCTCCTGCTCTAGCAGGGCCACCGAGGGCCAGCTGCCCAGGACACATCCGGGTGGCTTCTTAAAATATCTCAGAATGGAGACTCCACAACCCCTCAGGACAGCCAACCCCAGGGCTCTCATCCTCTCCTCATAAAAGAGGTGCTCCAGTCCCTTCATCCCCTTGAGCTGGGCCAGTTCAGCCTCGAGAAGGACGGGCAGGAACTGATGCCCAGGAAGTTCCACCTGGACAGGAGGAAGAACTTCTTGAGCTGGGCAGTGACCCAGCACTGAACAGGTTGCCCAGAGAGGATGTGGAATCTCCTCACTGGGGATATTCCAGAACCATCTGGACACCATCCTGTGCCCTGAGCTCTGGGATGACGCTGAGTTTGGACCAGATGACCCACTGTGGTCCTTTCCAACCTCTCCCATTCTGTGATCACCTTCCTGGCCTCTCTCCTGGCCTGTCTCTGTCTCTGTTGTCCTGGAATGCCAGCCCTGGGCACCCAAAAATGGCAGGAAAAGCCTGCTGAAGCCCGGGATTGAACCAGGGACCTTTAGATCTTCAGTCTAACGCTCTCCCAGCTGAGCTACTTCAGCCCTGCTGGAGCTCAAATTATCATAAACCCTGTTGAAATATGAGGATCTTTCAGCCTTTTGGGGCAGCCTTTGGTTGACTTTGGCTCGGGAAACAAAGAATTTATTTCAGGGAACGAGACACAGGCAGAGTGGGATCAAAAGCACTGGTCCAAGGTGCCAGCCCAGCCTCCCTGTCGGTGTCTGTGACCTCCATGTATGATTTTAACAACATGAATCTGGAGGATCTGTGGAAATGGGGCAGGGAAACACTTACTTTGGTATCAAAGAAGGGCTCTGTAGCCCACAAATCATTGCAAGGAGAACAAGGAGATGGAGTTAAGTCTCTGCAGATCCAAAGCCACAGAAGGGGAAGCTGAATGTGAAGTGACAAAGGTGGTGGAGGATGGAGAGAAGGACAAATTCCCTGTAGGGAAGGCTCAAGAGGTGACTGGGAAGAGAGTAAAAGGGACAATCAAACACAGACTCCTCTCTCTCTGATGGTGTTGGGGACACTGTCTTGTCTCATTCCTCAGACCATCTCTCTTTCTCGTGCTGTTCAGGGTTTCACACTGGTCTGACATATCCAAATACACATATTGGATATATCTAAAATGCTCAAACCCCTTCCCTGTAGCATGTCCTGATAAGAAATAATAAATATAAGATATAATAAATTGGGGCTCACTGCAGTTCCTGAAGACCAAGGTCCATAACACTGGGAAGAAATTCTTTGCTCAGAGAACTGGCACAGGCTTTCCAGAGAATCTGTGGCTGCCCCATCCCTGGAAGTGTTCAAGGTCAGGTTGGACAGGGCTTGGAGCAACCTGGTCCAGTGGAAGGTGAGTGGGACGAGATGATCTTGAAGGTCCTTTCCAGCTCAAATAATTCTGGGCTTTTATGATAAAAAACAGCTAAAATCTGGATTTAAACAGCAGCCTTGAGCTGAGAGCCATCAGGAGCATTAGCATTGAACAGACTTTCCTAACATCTTTTCACAGAGCCCACGGAAGGATCTGGAGTTATCCATGGAGCCTGGCTAATCTTTGCACATCAATCTGTCTCCCTCCACCCAGGGAATGGGAGCCAGGCAGATTCCTGCAGTGAGAAGGGACAGGTTTGCCCAGCCCACCAACTTCTCCTGCAAATACTTCGCTCCCAGGGCGATCTCCCATCTTTCCCCAGCTCCAAATCCACGTCTTCCCAAAATACTTCTGTGAAATGCACGGTGAGTTTTCCGTGTCTGTCAAAAATCTGGTAGTGAAAGGTGTCAGAAATATATTTAATCTGGGCTTGAATGTTCAGCTCGACAGCAGCAGCTATTTCCTCCCAGGGATTTATTAGATAACAGTTCCTGGATATTTAGGGCTCCCAAACTAGGCTGTGGAATATCCAGACAACAGGAACATAGCCTAAGTGGGTTTTCTTCCTGCAAAAACACTTCCATTCCTGGATCCCAGTGGTGATCCCACCCCTGGTCACACATGTGGCTGAGGGTCTCAGCATCTTTGTGCTTCTCAGGTGGGGGCCTTTTGGGCCACCTGAGCAATGATACTCCCATTTAAACTTCTAAATTGTCTCCCACATATGACAGATCCAGCTCCTGAAAGCTCAGTGGTGCCAAGAGGAAGGTGCTCCAAGGTGTCCTTGGAGCCTTCTCTTCTCTGGGCTGAACAAATCCATCTCTCTCAGCCTTTCCTCACAGGAGAGGAGCTCCATCTCTCTAACAATCTTTGTGGACCCCCCTGGCCTTGCTCCAAAGTAGACAACTCACCACACCAGTGACTCAAGATGTTGAACAGCTGTGGCTGCCCCATCCCTGGAAGTGTCCAAGGCCAGGTTGGATGGGGCTTGGAGCAACCTGGGCTACCAGAAGTTGTCCCTGCCCATGGCAGGGGTTGGAAAGAGATGATCTTTAATGTCCAGGGCATCACTAAACACCTTGGCCAAGAGAGAACATGACCCAAACCCAGATTCCTCTATTTTGAGTCTGGTGGAGATGCTGAAATGAGAGGAACCTCCAATATTACTCAGGGGTTTGGAGCCTGAAGGCTGATTAGGTCTCAGCTCTGAATGAGCTGAGGGAATGAGCAATCCTTGCTCTCTCTCCTATTGAATGCCTCTCTCATCTCCACCAGGAATCTCAAGATCCATAAGGAGAAGGTAGTTGGGCATTGGCCCCAGTAAATATTTTCAAGAAATCCTGCAATCTGCCCCCTGCAAAATCATTCCCAAAACCAGGCTGGATGTTCAGAGCAGCTCTGGTTACATTTACCTACAGAAGGAGCAACTCCTTGAGCTCAGTGACTACAGATCCTACAAGTCCAGCTTGGCTCAGCCTGCAGGGGCTGAAAACTCTTCCTGGTCTATTTTTCCATGTTTGGATGCCGAAGGAAGTGAGAAAAAGGATCGCAGAGCCAGGTGATTGCTCAGATGATGATTATTGTGCGGCCCATCACAAGCAGTTCCCTTGTGCGTAAAGCTTTGCTTTGAAGGGTCATTAAAGCCTGGAGTGCAGCTTTGCACTAGGTTTAGCTATTTGTCTATTTTGAAACATCAGTGCCTCTGGTTCTGTGAATTGGTGTTGTTTTGTTCTTCTCTTTAAGAGCTGGGAGTTATTTGGTTCAGCGGCTCCGGAGATCAGCAAATTCCCAGAGGGCCAGATGGGGACAGCAGTGACAGTGGCAGGTGGCAAAGACCACAAGACAAGAGCCAGCAGGACCTTTTTTTTTACTGCAAAACAAGGAGTTTGGAAAAGGTTCCTGGGGTGGGATTCATCTCACTTGATGTCTCAGAGGGCACAAAGGCAAATCTCCAAACCTGACCTAAACACAGAAGGGACCTACAGGATTATTGAATTCCAACCCTCTGCCATGGACAGGGACACCTTCCACTGGCCCAGCTTGTTCAATCACCAGACAGAGCCCACAGAAACACCGGTGCTGAGTTCCAAAATTGAATCTGCCTTCAAAAACCAATCCAAAAACTTTGGAAATCCGCTCTGGAGGTCTCTGTGTGACACCTGGGGCGTTGTCAGCATGTTCTCCAGGCAACCTGAGCACCCCCTTTCCAGCAGCAAACCATAAATGCATCAAGATCAGCTTCTTTGCTGGGAGTTACAACTCCCTCCCTGCAGCCAGGAATTAAATTATCCCAATTAAATTAAGTGCCAACAAGAAAAGTTATTTCCAGTCCCGAGTTCAGCTCAGCCACTGGTGAAGTTCATGCCCAGAGGAGCCGGGTTATGCCTTTCCATGGGGTTTTTCCAGAATCCAGTGCAAAGATGAGCTGAGTCCTATCAAAAGTTCTTCTCCAAATTAAATCACAACCAACAGCCCAGGTCACTTTTAGGTCTGCACGAATCTCATCCAACCCTTCCTGAGCTTTTCTGGGGACAGTGGGGAGAGAGGGGTGGTCTCTGAACCGGGATTTGGGTCAGCCTGGCTTGAAGGAGACAAAGCACGTCAAGGGCTTCTCAAGGCCAGTGGTGCCACCTAATGGGAAAATTCCCAGGGAACGAGTTCCTCGGAAGTGGAGTCCTTATCGGGAGTGTTGCTAGGTGACGTAGAGATGGAAATCAGGGGCTCTGACGTCAGTCCCTCTTTTTCTCCCGCTTTACGACGGTTCCTCCGTCAATCCATTCCCTTTTTCCCGAGCCACACGGCACGGGATCGCCCTGGGAATTTCGGGCTGTTTCCTGCTTAAATCCACTCCCAGCAAGCCTTGAAACTGCCAAAGGGTTTTTTCTTTGTCCTTCCTGCAGGCTCGGTGCTGGAGAGGAAATTATCCCAGATTTTCGGGTTCTGAAGAGCCAGGCAGAAAACAAGAGGGAATGAGGGAGTGCCATGGGATAGAGCAGGAATCTGTGGGTTTTATCCTTAGTTACAGGGTTTGGAAATAAGGGGTGATACAGGCTCTGCATTGCAACCATCCCCATGCTGCTGCAGCTCAGATCCCTCTGGAATCACACTGTGGTTCTTCCAAAAAAAAAAAAGGGATAATATCTCAAAAGTTCCCACATGGCAACTCCCTGTAGCCCCTCCAAGTCATAAATAATCATGAGAGTGGGCAGGAATGAGCTGGGAAGCCTGTCCTGGCCTCAAGGGATTAATATATTCCCTGACTGTGTTGTCTTCCCAACACCTACACCTGTTTTTTTCTGACAGTCACTCACCATCATATCCCTGCTACCTTTATTTTTCAGGAGTGTGTTACAGGGGTTAGAGCAGGGTCTGGATCACTCTCAGGTCTCCTCTCACCTCTACCAGCAATAAATCCTAGTTTTTAAGCTGTCTCAGCCAGGCTTTCTTTATTTCCATTTCTTTGAAGAGTTATTTCCAGGATTCTGCCAGTTTTTCCTGGGATGAAGATTTTTCTAAGGGCTCACAAGGAGAAAATTATGCAATGTGGTGTCAGAGCTTGGTTTCTGCTGTTCTTGGGGACAGGGGACAAGTGAAGGTAGGGGAGGATTTAATCTCTCAGTGCCTCACTGAGCCAAAACACCACCAGTGATTGTCCCCAGAGCTCAGAGGGTCAGAAACCATGGAATGGGTTGGGTTGGGAGGGACATTAAACATCATCTCATTCCAACCCCTGCCATGGGCAGGGACACCTTCCACTAGCCCAGGTCTTGGACACTTCCAGGGATGGGGCAGCCACAGCTTCTCTGGGCAACCTGTGCCAGGGCCTGACCACACTCCCAGCCAAGAATTCCTTCCCAATATCCCATCTAACATTCCTCTGTCAATTTAAAGCCATTCCCCTTCATCCTGTCGCTCCATGCCCTTGCCCAAAGTCCCTCTCCAGCTCTCCTGGAGCCCCTTTAGGCACTAAAAGGATCTCTAAGGTCTCCTTGGAGCCTTCTCTCCTCTGGGCTGAACAAATCCATCCCTCTCAGCCTTTCCTCCCAGGAGAGGAGTTCCATCCCTCGAATAATCTTTGTGGCTCCAGGGTAGACAAACCCCCCACACCAGTGACTCAACACCACCACCACTTCAAGGGGCAGGCCAGGACACAGGACTGGGAAAAAAACAGTTGAAGGAACAAAAGAAAAACCCCTTTCTATCATTATTTTTGCTGATGGCTTTGAATTAAAAACCACATTCCTATTTCACAGACCCGGACTGGTTGAGGTCAGAAGGGACCTCATGGAGATCATCTGGGCCAAAGCCCTGCTCAGGCAGGAACACCTCCAGTTGTCCAGGATCACATGCAGGTGGCTTTGAAATGTGTCAAAGAATGGGAAGTCCATCTCTCAGGGCAATGTCCCAGCTCCTCATAGGAGAGATGCTCCAGTCCCTTCATCCTCCTCCTGGCCCTTTGCTGGTCTCTCTGGTGCCTGTCCCTGTCTCTGTTGTCCTGGAATGCCAGCCCTGGGCACCCAAAAGGGCAGGAAAAGCCTGCTGAAGCCCGGGATTGAACCAGGGACCTTTAGATCTTCAGTCTAACGCTCTCCCAGCTGAGCTACTTCAGCCCTACTGGAGCTCAAATTTTCACAAAACCTCTTGAAAGATGATTTTCAGACATTTGCTGTTCCAAGTGGCTTCCCTTCCAGGCAGTTCTTCACAGAATCACAGAATGGTTTGGGTTGGAAAGGACCTGAAATGTCACCTGGTTCCATGGGCAGGGACACCTTCCACTAGACCACGTTGCTTAAAGTGACTTTCCTTTTCATATCCCTTATCCCAAGAGTTCCAGCAACCAAGAAAGTTCATCTGCAGGACTCAGTCTGAGGGTTGACAGTGTTTCTCAGATCTGAGCACATTCCAGCCTCAAATCCTTGAGATCTCTTACCTGCTACAGCAGAGAGTCCTTTCACTGATGAGGGAACTGAGACACAGGGGAACCAGTGGATTTTTGGGGCTTTTTTTACTAGTTTTGCTGAGCCACTGCTCAGCTCTTGGGGGAAAACCACAGCAAATACCAAACTGGCTTGTGAAAACATATTTGTTTAATTTTACCATCTAGAACATCACAGATTGCTGGTTTAAAGGCAGGAGATCCCCTTCCAAAAGAGTTGTCACATCAAACCTTTCACTTTGAAAGAGCCCCTTCTTTACCTGAAGACCCAGTTAAGGAAAGGCAGGGTGGGATATTTTGGAAAAACAGTGTTAAAGAGACAAATTTTGTTGCAGATGCAAGAGATTATATCATGGAATCATTGAAAAGTTTGAGTTGGAAGGGACCTTCAAGATCATCCCTTTCCAGCCCATGGGCAGGGACACCTTTCACTAGCCCAGGTTGCTCCACACCCCGTCTGACCTGGCCTTGGGCACTTCCAGGGATGGGAAATCCACAACTTCTGTGGCCAAACTGTTCCAGGAACAGCCTCTCCCCAGGAATAACAGACCTCCTTGGGTTTCTCTGGTGGAGCATCAGCTGGGAAGCTGGAATGGAAAACAGACTGGAAAACTTCTCACTTCTCTTGGCCTATTATGTCACATATTGTATCATGATGTGCAATAGTTTAACCACACTTAAATCACTCTAAACTACATAAATTACCTCCAATAATCCCTCTCCTTTCCAAATGCTGGCACTTTTTTGTCCCAGAACACAGCAATCTTGCCGTCTTCCATGTAATTGCACATGGAATTCATCTCTGCCTCTTGAATAAATAAGAGTTATGTTCCCCAGTATTCACCCAGTCACACATAATTTTCTCTGTTTTCCAGTGTTATAAAAAAGAAAGGCAGCTGAGAATGATTGGGGGGTAAATCTTTGTGCTTAAATGTAAAGGGCTTAGGAACAAAAACAAAAATAAAAAGCATCAATTCCCAAATCTGAATGTTGTTGTTTAACAGCTTGGCTTTTAATTCCAGTCCCCCAAAGTGGAAAGAACGAGGTGTGTGTTGTTTGGTGATGTTGCTGTTTGGTGATCCAGCTCCAGCTTCATGAACAGCCCCCTGTGCAGGGGATTTCAGAGGGTCCTCTTCTATAGCACTCCAAAAATTCCATGCTGGCTGCAGAGTGAGGAGGGGTCTGGGGATGCAGGCAATGGGCGTCACCAAGATGGGACACCCTGTGGCTGTACTTGGCTTCCCTCAGCTCAGAAGGAAAGCAGAGCCACCACAAGGGTTCCCTAAGCTTATTCCAGGGTTTTGCAAAGCTCCAGAGGAAACACTGAGATGGGGAGAAGGGTTGGAGCATCCTGAGCTCCCTCCACAGCAACCTCCTGCAGCTGGAGGCCATCAGCTCCCTCAGCTGCTTCTCTCCTGCTCAAGAATTACAGAATGGTTTGGGTTGGAAGGGACCTTGAAAATCATGGAATTCCACCACCCTGCCATGGGTAGGGACACCTCCCACTATCCCAGGTTGCTCCAAGCTCCATCCAGCCTGGCCTTGGACACTTCCAGGGATGGGGCAGCCACAGCTTCTCTGTGCCAGGGCCTTGGGAGACTCCTCCCTTTTCACATATGGGATGTCTGCTGCCTCTTTCCATGGTTTCTCCACCAAAATCCCACTCCTGTACACGGCTGAGCCTCAGCTGCCAATTTGGCAGCTCCTGCAGGTTCCCAATAAGCTTTCTTGGATAGACAGACATTCCCTGCCAAGATCTGAGGCTGCAAGTGCCAGCTGGAGGTGTTCCATAGGATACCTTGGGAAGAGGGGGGTGGAATCATGAGCTTCAAATCTGCTTGGAAGTCAGGTAGTTAACAGCAGGCTGTTGGGAGGTCTTCCCTTGGGATCCAGGCCTGGAAATCTCTCCTGGAGGAAGGGGACTAAGCCAACCTGCCCTCACCAAAGTTTGAGACACGTGTGGTGTGAATTGGCTCTTGCCCTTGGCAGTTGGGCAGGTGGAGTGGGATGACCCTAGAGGGATGCCAGGTATGGAATCATGGAATCATAGAACCATAGAATCATTGAATCAGTCAGGCTGGAAAAGACCTCTGAGATCATCAAGTCCAACCCTTGATCCAACCCCGCCGTGGTTCCCAGCCCATGGCACTGATGCCATATCCAGTCTGTCCTTAAACACCTCCAGGGATGGAGAATCCACCCCCTCCCTGGGCAGCCCATTCCAAGGGCTGATCCCTCTCTCTGGAAAGAATTTCTTCCTGATATTCAACCTAAACCTCCCCTGGCACAGATTGAGACCGAGCCCTCTTGTCTTACTGAGAGTTGCCTGGGAGAAGAGACCAAAGCCCCCCTGGCTCCCCACTCCTGTCAGGGGGTTGCAGAGAGTGCTGAGGTCTCCCCTGAGCCTCCTCCTCTCCAGGCTGAGCCCCCCCAGCTCCCTCAGCCTCTCCTCATGGGAATTGTGCTCCAGTCCCTTCCCCAGCCTCGTTGCTCTTCTCTGCCCCTGCTCCAGCCCCTCCATGTCCTTCCTGAGCTGAGGGCCCAGAGCTGGACACAGCACTCCAGGGGTGGCCTCCCAGGGACAGAATCCCTTCCCTGCTCCTGCTGCCACCCTGTCCCTGAGCCAGGCCAGGATCCATCGGCCTTCTTGGTCCCCTGGGCACACTCTGGCTCATGTTGGCACCCACTAAGGCCACTCTCTCCCTCTGCAACTGGACAGAGAGAGGAAAAAAAACCCAGCAAAGGATCCATGAGTTAGGAGCTGGGAAAGGTCACCTACTGATCACCTCCATGGGCAAAGCAGAGTCAAAGTGGGGATATTATTTAAATTTATTGCTAACAGGTTCAGAGCAAAAGAGTGAAAAGTAAAATAATCTTAAAAACACCTTCCCCCCACCCCTCCTTCCTTCTGTGCTCTCCCTCTTCCCTCTTTCCCTTCCTGGTCTATGGAAGGTGTTCCTTCCCATGGCAGGGAGGTGGAACTGGATGATCTTTAAGGTCCCTTCCAACCCAGAACACTCTATGAATTCTGTGCCATTCCCAGAAAACCTGGAGAGGATCAAGCCCTGCAAAACAACATAAACCTGGCAGAGCAAAGATCCTTCATGGATCCATCTCCCCAGGGCCACTTTGACACATGAAACATGGGAATAACTGAACTCCCCTTTGACCAGGGTGTTACAAGGACATCTAGAGATGTCCCCAAGCAGTAAACAAGATAATGGTACTGATTACCCAGCCCCAAGGCATGGAATTGATTCTGCATGGCTGATGCATCCAGAGGGAAATGGACCCGAGTGACACCGGGTTTGATGGGAAGATTGACAGGTCTGAGGGACTCATGGTGGATTAGCTGGGTCCTGTGTGGCAGGAATGACACTGGAGCCTGGGATCAAACATCCAGCCAGGATCTGGGCTCAAACAACTCTTGCTGTTCCCCTTCCCACCTTATTTCTCAAGTTGACATGTGCCAATAAATCCTTTGGAGAGGCTGGAGCTCTGGGTGTAAAATAAGAGAGTCCTGGATGTAAAATAAGTGTCCTGGATGTAAAATGAGAGCCCTGGATGTAAAATAAGAGAGTCTTGGATATAAAATAAATTCTAGTTGTTCTGGCCTGTTTCTAAACAGGTAATTTAAATCCACTTCCCAGCATTTTTTGCAAATGTGACGAGATTTCTGCTTTCCCTGCTGCCAATAATCCCACAGGAGCTGGCAGAGGGGAGCCCAGTGGCTACCACACCACTCCTGGAATTCAGGTGGGATAATCTCCAGCTCTGTCTGCAGTTACAATAACCCACAAACACACACAAAAGAGTAGCATTTCCCACCTCTGTGCACAAAAACCTGCTGCTGCTGCTGCAATTTGTATTTTATGCATATCCCATCCCTGCCCGAAAGAAGCTTTTTCCTTCCCCCTCTCCCCTTCTCCGCTTCCCAGCTCTTCCTGCAGACGCCAAACCCTCAATCCATGCGAGGAAAGGAATAAACTCCGGCGCTGCGAGCCACAAAATCACTGCTCTCTGACTTTCAGAACCGTCCCCAGGTGGGAAAAGGCAGCGAGCAAAGGCTGTAAACAGCAAATTGCAGAGCAACTCCCACTCCCTGAAGCTGCCGCTTCTCCCTCCCGAAGGCAGCTCGGGGATGAGTCAGAGCTAAAAGCATCTCCCTCCCCGCGGGGCCGGGGCTCTGCCTGGCCCACCTGCCCTCCCCCACAGAGAGGTGGGTGATGCAGCCCCCCGGGCACCGCCTGTGAGTCAGGACCCCCCCAAAATATCCCCCAGCAGGGAGGGGGAGCCACCTGCAAACTCCTGCTCATCTGGCATTTCAAGGGGGGTTTATCCCAGCAGGTGAAAGTGGTTTGAGAGGGGAGAAACATGGGGGAGAAGCTTCCATTGGTGTGGAGCTCTGGGAATGCTGGGATTCCAAATCCTAACATAAGGGAGAAGCCTCCATCAGTCTGGAGCTCTGGGAATGCTGGGATGCCAAATCCTAACATAAGGGAGAAGCCTCCATCAGTCTGGAGCTCTGGGAATGCTGGGATGCCAAATCCTAACGTGGAGCAGAAGAACCCATCATCCTGGAGCTCTGGGAATGCTGGGATGCCAAATCCTTTTGGGGATGCTGAAAATCTGGAGCCCTCTGAGGTTTGTAGCAGGGTGGTCACACCTTTTCCCTGTGCAGAAATGATTTCAGGATCAGTGGTCAAGCCAAGAGAAGCGTGAGGGGAAGATTCCAGGGATTTATTTACAGTCCAGTGTCACAGAGAATGATTATGCAAAACTGGCATAACTAAATCTGGGAATAATCTTTGTCCTTCACCATTCCTCTCTGGATTATTTGGTGTCTAATTTAACTCCTCTGGCTCTGAGAGAGAACTGTCCCCACCGAAATGTCCCAGAACTGGTGGCAAAGGGTGGTTTTGTAGCTGGTTTTTAAGGAGTTCAAAGCCTCACCCTTTCCTTAAAAAACGGAAAATCCTCGAATTGAAGGTTCCCACTTAAAGAAGACAAATCTAAATTTAATGTTATGCAGCAAAGGGCTTCTTTTTACTTTAAATATATAAAATTGAGGGGTAAAAAAGAAGTTTGGCCCTCAGTCTGAATTTGTAAAGTATTTCAGCACCAAGCCCTACGTTTCTGTTAGTAAAGTATTTTCATTTAATCACAGAAGCCCAGAATGGTTTGGGTTGGAAGGGACATTAAAGATTATGGAATTTCAACCCCTGCTATGGGCAGGGACAGCTCTCACCATCCCAGGTTGCTCCAAGCCCTGTCCAACCTGGCCTTGGACACTTCCAGGGCTGGGGCAGCCACAGCTTCTCTGGGAATTCCATTCCAGTCCCTCCCCACCCTCCCAGCAAAGAATTTATTCCAAAATATCCCATCTAAATCTACCCTCCTTTTTAACTTTCCACCCATGTTAAAGGGTGAGCTTCAGTTATAATCCAAATAAAGGTCCTCCTGAGGGAAGACAAACCACCTCTAAAACTCACACTGGCTGCAAAGCTGTATTTCTTAGCTTTTAGATCTCTTCCAAAAGTGGAACTACTGATCATCCAGCAACAGCCAGAGGGAAAAGAGGGAAAAAGAAGAAAAAAAAAAAAGGAAAAAAATTCTGTTGAAAAGTTTTGAAAACAAGCAAAGTGTGTGTTTGCTGAGTCTTCTCCATCTGCTGTATTTCACTCTGTTCTCACACTCTTGACTAACAGGCCCCAACTAATTGCACAACTTTGCCTGCAAATTCACAGCCTGTTTGTTTTTAGTCAGTTTTTTTGGTTGTTTTTTTTTCCCCCTAACATCTCTCCAGGATGTGGAAAGCCCATAATTATTCCTCCATCCTAATGTAAGAGACAGCCAAGTGGATGGTGGCGAGTTGTTGTCTTCTTCAGACATGAAGAGCTGGGAGACTTGTCCATAAACCATGTGGGGAACAGCAGTTGAAAGT